TGTCTAACTGGACCTTATTTATTTAACAAAGCGTGACTGGACCAAAGCATCCGCTGCCGTTCGGCCGCCACCCGAACGCGCCGCGGCCGGCAATGAAGGGTGCGCCCGCACCGTGAGGCCTTGGCCGTGGCGAAGCAAGGGCTGGTTTAAATTCCAGCCCTGTGCCCCTGCCTGCTTCTCTCCTCACACCCCGCCCGGGAGTGACAGCTTTGTGCTGACAAGTGCCAACGTCCCCCCATGAGAGCGGAGCTGCGGCCCAGGACGGGCTCTGCTCCCAGGAGTGGGTGGGAGCCCCGGATCCTCCCGCCTGGTGTCCTGCGGGTGAGCGGAGCCCACCCCGCCTCGGCCCTCGTGTCTCTGCCAGCCAGCAGTGATTGTATGTCAAACCTCTGTCTTGTCACTTAGTCGTACAGGAAAAAGCAGCTCCTGGGCTTCCCAGGACCGCCAAGGTGGCGGGGGCAGGATTTTGGAGGTGAAATCCCCCCTTGCTTTGCCTTTGTGCCCAGTTCCAACAGGTCAGGAAACTCTGGGAAAGGCCCTTCTAGGAGGAGGTAAAAGAAGAGACCAAAATGCAGCTGCTCAGCCATTTCTGCACTTCCTGATGCATCTGGGGAACGGATCGCTGTTACCACGTGGGAAGATGGAAATTAAAGTTATTTTGGGTATTTTGGTCCCTTCCTTAGCACCAGCTGACTTTTTTTACCTGATCCACTAGTCTCTCTCTCAGCCAGTCGGGAGGCTCTGTCCCCAGAGGGTGTTTGGCAGGGACATGCAGCGCCGGCTCCGAGCCAGGCTGTCCCGGTCACAGGGATCACCACAGCCTGACCCCAGCTCAGCTCATTTCCACCCTTTTTTGTTTTCCTGGGTCTCCTGCCTGTCATAAAGGATCAGAGAAGCTGGAACTCTGGAGAGAAGCTCCAGATACATAGGTAGTGTTACAGAACTTGGTCTAAGTTGTACTGGAGAGCTCACACCAATGATTGCCTGTAAAGTATTTCAGATTTTACAGTTCCTTCCAGTACAGCGTGAACCAGAAGGGCTGTTTCTATGAGAGAATTGACTAACGCTGATGCCAGTGCCTCACACCTCTACTGCTTCCTTCTGAAGTGCAACTCAGTCCTCAAGGGCACTGGCACTGCTCTCCTCCCTGGGGACGTGCAGCCCTGGCCAGCGGAGCTGTGTCACCTAAAGGACTAGCTTTTTCTCAGTAGTTAAAAACTCTAATTTGGTTTAAAAGTCTTTTTTGGGTTTTTTTTTCCCCGACTTGAGCTCCCTGAACAAGCCCCAGAGATGCTTTTACTTATGCCAGGGTGGGCTGCAGCAGGACAGACAGAGAATGTCCCAGCCAGGCAGGACCATTCGAGGGGCAGCACAGTGCAGGTGACTCGTTGGGCTCTTCTGCTAGCTGCCTCCAGGATGTCCCGGTCCCCGCTGCCCCATTCCTTCTTCTCGGGGTGGGAGCTGTCGCTGCCGGAGCCTCTGACAGGCTGGGCAGGAGCAGACCCTCTTTCAGTATTACAGCCTCTGGCTTGGGCTCCACTTCGTTTAGGGGAAAGTAGCTCCAACAAAACCAGCTGTAAACATTGGAGCTGGTCTCAAGTCCAAGTCCAGCACGAGCCCTGGGAGCCATGTGGAGGTCTGGCCCCGCTGAAGGGTGGGAGCTGTCGCTGCCGGAGCCTCTGACAGGCTGGGCAGGAGCAGACCCTCTTTCAGTATTACAGCCTCTGGCTTGGGCTCCACTTCGTTTAGGGGAAAGTAGCTCCAACAAAACCAGCTGTAAACATTGGAGCTGGTCTCAAGTCCAAGTCCAGCACGAGCCCTGGGAGCCATGTGGAGGTCTGGCCCCGCTGAAGCACCGTGGGCAGCGTCACCAGCCGATGTCCTGGTCGTTCTGCCCTGGCTGTGGCCGCAGTGCCGGTGCCGCAGCATCGGGGCGGGTGCCCAGCGGGGCAGGGGCGGCAGGAAACTGCCCTCGGTCCGTACGGTTCTTGCCGGTGCTGAAGTATTTCACTTACCTCAGTTTCTTTTAATAAAAAGAATGAATTGCAGCTCTGTCGCTGGGAGTGGAAATCTGTCACCCCTTGTCCTGTGCACCCCTTGGGGAGCTCAGCTTCTCAAACGAGGGCTGGTGGCTGCTGGTGCTGGGAGGATGGAGCTGGAGGACCCTGTGGTCTGGGATGTCCCTCACCTGACGCTGCCTCTCGCTGCTCTTGTTCCTGCCCCTGCTCAGACTCTGCAGATGTTTGAAATAAACCTTCTGAGATGTGACCCCACAGGGCAAAGCCCAGCCTGGTCCCTCGGTGCTCATACAAAGCGGGCAGGAGTGTTTCCCCTTCTCCAAGCTTCACTGTGTCCCTTCACATCCTCAGCAGCGGGAGGAGCTGGATGGCCGGCGCTGAGCCAGGCTGGAGCCGCAGGTCCTGGGCAGAAGGACCAGCTCCTCATCCCACCACCAGCTCCAGTCCCTGCCCAACGCTCTGGGTGTAACTCCCAGCCCACAGTCGCCATCCCAGCAAACTGTTAGTGGGTCCAGTTTCTCCTCCATGGATTTATTGTCATCTTTAACACGACAGTGACTTAAATAGAAAGGAAAACCCCAGCCCAGCGATTGCCTCTGAGGGTGGTGGGAGAATTCCATGAACCCTCCCTGGAGCAGGAGCCCACTGGAAATGAAGTGCCAGGACCTTTGGTTGTGGGGTGTCCCCTGCAGTCCTGGGGCTCTGCAAACACAAACACCTCTCGGAAGTTCCCCGCATTAAAGGTGAGTTTTAGTGTGACACATTAAACAGCAAACATGGCTCCAGCAGTTATTTTTTCACACATTTTTTTCAAACCAGAATCCTGATAGTTAAAAACATAAATCACCTCAAGAAACAATATAATTGAGGGAGTTGGGTGAGGGGACAGACCCCACTGAACTCCAGAAATGCATTTAAAACTCTTTAGCCTAAAATATCTACGTATTAAAATGCCAAGAAAAGAAGTACCAAAGCTGTAAGCTCTCAAAAGCCCAAGATCAAAGTGCCATCATCTTTTAATGTAAACCTTTTGTTGCATCAACAGTCTTATGAGGGATGAGAGACATCAAAATAAAAACTGAGACAAACTGTGGCTTTGTAGCTGTTTTTTTGTTTTAGTCTCTTCTCTCAATTTGGGCCATGAAATAGGTCAGCTCCATTACTGATCAGCCTTCCCACAAATATTTAAAACAAATTGAATTGCACACCCAATACCCATCACAATTACGCCAGGCACAATAACTAAATTAGCAATTCAACAAAATAATTGGAAATGCGATTCTCTCTATTCCACAGCCTCCCTCAGGGGTTTGGCCGATCTATGGGGGGAAAACTCTGCTTTACTAATTCTGCAGCTAATTAGAGACACACTTGTAAATGAAGTTGTTTGTCTGAAAGTTGAAATTCTTTGCTATTGTGGGGTTGGGGGGAAGAGGATTAATCCCTCTGTCCCCCCCCATCACACATGTATTCCCCAACACACCGTCTAGTCGCTGGGCAATGCTTTGCAAAGGTATAATGCCCATTTGTGTAGGTGCTAATTAGCAGCTGTATCATGAATTAATAAAGAATTAATATTCTGTTGTGGGGGGGGGGAATATCTCACTTGCTGTTAATTGGCAGCATTAGGAAAACTTAGTGGAAATCATCTGAGTTATCTGTGCCCTTATTAAACATCACTCACAGCTTCTGAGCGTGCCACCGTGCCCGCCCCCACCGCTGCTGCCGTGCCGAGGGAGCTGCCCCGCTGCTGGAGCGGGCACGTCACCCCGGAGTGGCTCTGAGGAGTTGTTACTCGGGGATTACACAGGCTGCACTTTCTCCTGCAGCATATTCAAATCCAGGCCAGGGAGCGTTTTCATGCCCGGAATCAAGCGCTGCCCTTACCAGCAAGGTCAGGAGATGGAGCAGGGGCCTCCTCAGCTGAGGCTGCCGGCCCAGGTTCTCCCCGTGTATCGCGGTGCCCAGGTGGTGGGGGACGGCAGGAGACAAGCCTGCTTAAACACTGATAAGTGAATTCAAAAGCACGCTTAGCAGGGCTTGGACTCTTATCTCCTCAAACAATACGAAGGAGAAGTTATCACATTTAAAGTGGTTCATGTTACCCTTTTAACACTACATCCCGCTCCCTCAAAAAAAAGTAATAGGAAAAATGCAGTGCCCTGGTGCTACAACTGCAGAGGACACAGAAGTCAAACGGGAAAGGGGTGGCACAGCTGCAGCACAGACCACCAGCGCCCCGAGCCTCGGCCACAAAACCAACTTGCCAGCCCAGCAAACCCCGAAGTAGGGTGGGGACATGGTGCTTTCTGTTAAACATCCTCAATGCTCGTGCTGACAGCGTAAGCAGCATGAAACCATTCCACCGACACAAATTTTGGAAGCACCTAATTTACTCCCCTTGATGCCTTTCAGAATTGTGGTTATTAAACCAGGAGACTTTAATGACATTGGAACAGACCACACAGCTTTGCTGCTGCTCAGAAAATAAGTCTGACTGGGTGGGGGGACACACACCTCGACTCTCAGCAGGTGGATTGTGCCAGCGCGGTTACGGTGGAAGGTGTCACTGTGTCGTGCTGCTTTCTGGTGACTGCTGGGGACCCAGAATTGTCATTGGAGGGGACAGGACGTGCCGTGGCCAGGATCTGCCATGGAAGATGGTCGAATCCAGGGGAATAAGCTGGGGAGGCCCGT